ATATATTCCATATAACAATGAGTGATAAAGTAGATAATTCGTTGGTTTCATTATTTAAAAAAAATAATGTTTTTCGTAACAAATTTCGGCTAAAGTGTGATGACGTGTATATTTGTAAGTTCTATTTTTTGTGCATTAGGGTGACCAATTTTATAATATAATGATCTTTTTTTTCTTCTTATAATTGCTTTTAAGGTTATCTCGGTTTTCAACCCGAAATTTCAGAAAAAAATCGATAAATAAAAAAAATGGATTTTTCTCTCTGTTAAGTTCTGATCTCGCAATTCGCCGAGCAGTTGCTAGAAGCATTAATGACGTTGGGCCGACAAGGCGTCATTTTAGTGAAGTTATGGAAAAATATCCTTTTGCCTTCAATTCAACAAAATAAAATGTCCGAAATCCCATGACTTTTTGGCCTTTCCAACCAGTCTTCAAACATCGATCATTATAAATATTCAATCTGTTTTTCGGGAATTGAAATAGCATTAAATTGAGAGTATGGATAAAATAAGATCACTGTAAAAACTTCTGTGAATGCAGCTAGTTCATTCTTTATGCGCATTGGGTTGAATTTAGTTTTAAAAAACAGGTTGCTGTATTCACACACTGAATTAGCACCGGGTCGATTGTGCGCTTTGCGACTTCTGGCGATCATGTGAAAATTAATCGGAAATTTTATCGTTCAATCATTTCTGTTTCATCTTGCACAAAATCTCGAATTCGGGTATACACATCAAAGTGTGATGTAGGTTCCAAAAGCAGAAAAAATACTGTTATATTTTGGAATAGTTTCTAGTTTTGTTACTATAATGGACAGGAAAACGTGTTTATATGGAAATTTTATGGGTTTTTTTGTATAAACATATTTTATTCAAACAACATGAATAGGATTGGGTAACAGGCAGAGCCTGTGTGAAAACCCTCTCCCTGTATACAGTATAATTTACAATAATAAAGTATTTACATATATACAAGATATTTACAGTACATGTAATTATATTATATGAAAATGGAAAACTTGTAGTATAATATCTATTAAATTAGGAAATTTTAATGAGAATTGAAAATAATAATTTGAGAAAGGTTGAGAAAGGTTAAAAAAACTCATGTAAGGTCTTAAAAATGGTAATATTTTCAGCAACGGAAAGATTATTTGATCCAAATAACAGATGATTGCTATTTCTGTATTTGAGAGGCAAAGTGCTTATCGTTCTGCGGCGTGCATCTGAGTGGTTTGTACATATGAAAAGAAAATGTTCAATATCTTCAAATGGATGACTACAAGTACAAGCTGGATCATCTGATATATGTCTCAAAAACAAGTGGCCTTTAAGATCGCAACATCGGAGTCGGAATTTTGAATGAATAATTTCGTTCGTTTTTTCGCGAACCCAAAAAATAATATATCGGAATGTTTGTGTCATTTTTGGAAAGTTTTTGTTTAAAGTCAGATAGTGATGTTGTTCTACGAACCGAGGTGTCTAACTGGTTCCATTTTCTGATGGAGGACGGTATAAATGTATTAGAAAAGAGATGTGTTCGGGATTTAAATTCCGTAAAATCATTATGGTAATGTTGGAGATTTTTCAAAAAGATTTAAAAGGTATTTAGGAATAATATTATTGAAGACTTTGTACATAAGATGCAATTTGTGACGCTTCCGTCTCTCCATCAAAGGAATAAAACCAGTTTCTCTGTACAGTGTTTCGTGATTGGTTCTTTTAACCGCCCCGCAAATAGTCCTAAGTGCATCAAGTTGAAGGCTTTCTAATTTATTAGCTAGTACATTTGAACAACCGTCCCAAATAACGGCAATACTATATACCGGAAAACACCGTAAAACAACCGGAAAACACCGGAAAACACCATTTTATACTGAATACCGGAAAACACCGGAAAAACACTAAATACCGGAAAACATCCTAAATTCCGGAAAACACCCTAAATAGGTAACCTGGAGCCTGGTCCTCTGTGTGCGGTTTTGGACCAAGTGAACGAGGATGAAGGAAGGTCAAGGTCATTACGATGTTCGTTTTACAAATAGCCCCCCCCCCCCCAAAAAAAAAAAAAAAAAAAAAAAATTCCGATTTTTTTTTCTCCAAACTTTTGTTGATGCCTATTATGTTTTGAATGTTTTAAAAGACGCAATCAGTCTACCTCCATCATTGACCATATTATATTTTGTATTTTAATTTTTGTTTTCAGTAAATTTCAGTGTTTCAGTATGTCAGTAGATTAAAAACTGCCCTCGGAGGGCCCCATTATATGCCGGTTGCGCCGGTCTCCTGATTCTTACCAGTAACGCTGGAATCAGGGTGGTACGAATTAGTGGAAGGCGCGACTAGGCCAACTCCTCCCTAGGTAACAAAAAAATCGCATCATAAAACAGCAAGTATCATCAAAAGCGAGTTAATAAATCTCTGAATAGTTCGAGTTGAAGTTCAAGGTTTAACCGCTATGTGTCCTAATCACAAAGGAAATGGATGCCACGCAATTCTTGGACAGGCTGTAATCTGAAAAGTGTCTATCCTTTCCAAGAGCTATCCATCTCGTTGGAAGGGCTAAACATCTACTTGTTTCTGAGCTTACTTTCATTCAAGGATCAAATATAATCACTTGAATCATAATAATATTCAACATATTCCATCATATTCCGAGGGCCGCACACATGACTTTTTTTACTGGATTACTTTTCGAGCTTTTTTTCCCCAACTTGTTGACCAGTTTTCCTTGAGAAAACCCCAACTTTCGCCCAATTGTCCATGAAAAAAGTACATATTCTATCTTACTACATTGACGGGAAGTGGTAAGCTGGACGTCTGTAAAAAGGGTTGATCGATAAATTTTCAAGGAAGTAATTGTTGTTTTTGTTTGTGAAATAGAGGACTCTAGCCGATGAGGCTACTTTCTCCCAAAACCTCAGGCAACCAATTTGTTTTATGTACTACTATCGTAATAAAACATTACTATGTTATCCACTTCCTGGTGGCTGAAGACTTACACCGAATGCGTATTCGGAAAAAAATGTCCCCGAGAAAATGTTTTTTCCGACAATCGATATTCGAGCTGTCTTCTGTTGCACAAATTATACTGCACTGTGTAAGAACTTGCATCCTTTGATCTGAAGATTCTAGATGGAAAAGTATCATTTTCACTATTTCAAAGTAAACCTGCATTTTCGTATATCATCCCGTAATTTGTGATTAATGACAATGACTTTAGAAATAATATGGCTTGAGGAACGAGAGATCTATGTTCGTCACGTGACTGGACAATTCCACCCCCGTCCCACTCTGACGATGATCCCTCCCGAAGCGGCACACCTTACTCTTCTAAGTTTACCGGTCGCTATTTAGTAACCCGGAGTTTGGTCCTCGTGTTTGGTTTTGGACCAGGTGGGCGCTGATGAAATAAGTTCATTAACATACAAGCGAGCGATCGGCTACGGTCAAAGAAAAATTTCTTTTCAGATTTTTTTTAACAATTTCTTCTCCAAAATTTCTCTCCAAAATAAAATCTAAATTTTTTTCCAGTATTTTTCTCTGTAAAATTATTTTCTACGGAATGTTTTTTTGTAAAACAAATTTTTCGGAAAAATTCCTTTTTTTTTTGTGACAGAAATTTTTCTTCGTCAAAACAATTTTGGAGAAAAAAAAATCGGAATTTTCAGATTTTTTTTAAATAATTTCTTCTCCAAAATTTCTCTCAAAAACAAATTCTAAATTTTTTTCCAGTATTTTTCTCTGTAAAATTATTTTCTACGGAATGTTTTTTTGTAAAACCAATTTTTCAGAAAAATTCATATTTTTTTTTTTTTTATGACAGAAAATTTTTTAGTCAAAATTTTTTGGGGGGGTGTTGGGTGGGGTGGGGGTGCTATTTGTAAAACGAACATCGTTATAACCTTGACCTTTCTTCATCGGCGATCACTTGGTCCAAAACCGCACACAGCGGACCAGGCTCCGGGTTACCTACTTAGGGTGTTTTCCAGTATTTAGGATGTTTTCCGGTATTTAGTGTTTTTCCGGTGTTTTCTGGTATTCAGTATAACATGGTCGGCAATACTATATACCGGAAAACACAGGCGCGCTCTCTAAAAAAAATCTCGGGCACAGTTTACTCTTCTAAGTTTTCCGGTAGCTATTTAGTAATACGGAGTTTGGTCCTCGTGTGTGGTTTTGGACCAGGTGAGCGCTGATGAAATAAGTTCATTAACATACAAGCGAGCGATCGCCTACGATCAAAGAAAAATTTCTTTTCAGATTTTTTTTAAGAATTTCTTCTCCCAAATTTCTCTCAATTTTGGAGAAAAAAAAATCGGAATTTTCAGATTTTTTTAAAATAATTTCTTCTCCAAAATTTCTCTCAAAAACAAATTCTAAATTTTTTTCCAGTATTTTTCTCTGTAAAATTATTTCCTACGGAATGTTTTTTTTGTAAAACCAATTTTTCGGAAAAATTCGATTTTTTTGGGAGGGGGTGGACAGAAAATTTTTTTCTTCAAAAAAATTTGGGAGAAAAAAAATTCGGATTTTTTTTTTTTGGGGGGGGGGGCTATTTGTAAAACGAACATGACCTTGACCTTCCTTCATCGGCGCTCACTTGGTCCAAAACCGCACACAGAGGACCAGGCTCCGGGTTACCTATTTAGGGTGTTTTCCGGTATTTAGGATGTTTTCCGGTATTTAGTGTTTTTCCGGTGTTTTCCGGTATTCAGTATAAAATGGTGTTTTCCGGTTGTTTTTCCGGTGTTTTTCCGGTTGTTTTCCGGTGTTTTCCTGTGTTTTCCGGTATAAAGTATTGCCGGTAGAATGTCACTTCATGAGAATGTAAAATAGATTGGTAGAATGTCACTTCATTGGCATGTATCAAGGATTGGTAGAACGCCTCTTCCATGACGTGTATCAAAGACTGCTAGAACACCACTGTTAAATTATAAAATCTTATTATACACTAAATAAGTATTAAAAAACGTAATTTCTTGTTTGTATATTTTTCAGTATAATGCTGATTGTGGTATTTATGTTGATAACTTTAGGTTTGACAGTTTCCAATTATCCAGTAAAAGGTAAGCTGTAATTTAACGTTTGAGTGAAGTTCCTCAAGCTTTAATCAAAAATAAAACCCGCAGAAACAAATCACCAGCGTATTGGTTGCAAAAGACAGTTTAAATGCTTATAAATTGTGGCGAAAGAAAACCGGAAATGGATGATAACGTTGTATAATCATTTTGCATGGTATCCTGTAGGTAGTTCTGTTTTTCATTTGGGACATTGTGTTTGGTTTCGTGAAGGTGGCAGAGAATGCTTACGACTCCAGAAAGTATGTTACTATGTCCCACTAGTTTCATCTGGGTGCGGTTGGGATGGAGGCAATAGGTATGGGGTCATATAATAGCTAACACTTAAAATCTTGCTATGACGTCATCTTTTATGTAGTTAATCCATTATGTGGTATGTATGAGTGATCGTTAATATCGCTCACTAACTGTCCTCTATTAAAACAAACACTATCCATTATGTTATAGTTTTTAGGCCAGTGTCTGTTAATAATGGACACTTTTTGTTAATAATGTACATTTTGTATTAGCAAGAAGAGTAAACGAACAACAACCGGAAAACACCGGAAAACAACCGAAAAACACCATTTTATACTGAATACCTGAAAACACCGGAAAAACACTTAATACCGGAAAACACACTAAATATCGGAAAATACCCTAAATAGGTAACCCGGAGACTGGCACCCTAAATAGGTAACCGGGAGCCTGGTCCTCTGTGTGCCTTGGTTAGGGTTAGTGTTAGTTTCCGGTTTATAGTATATCCCTTCTCCGAGTTACCTATTTAGGGTTGTTTCCGGTATTTAGTGTGTTTTCCGGTATTTAGTGTTTTTCCGGTGTTTTCCGGTATTCAGTATAACATGGTGTTTTCCGGTAGTTTTACCATTTTATACTGAATACCGGAAAACACCGGAAAAACACTAAATACTAAAAAACACACTAAATACCGGAAAATACCCTAAATAGGTAACCCGGAGACTAGGGGCTATACTATATACCGGAAAACACCGGAAAACAACCGGAAAAAAGCCGGAAATTTCTGCCGTGTTTGCATTGGTGATTGGTCGATCAGTGGAGTGATTTACGTGAAAGGATTTTGAATAATGGAAATTAATGATTTAAATAGGGAATTAAGCGGTTTTTTTTAGCTATGGATGGAACATATAGGCCCGTCTGCTTGGGAGAATCAGTTAAGGCTAGGAAAAATTAAGTATGGATATAAATATAGAAATTGGTGGCTGATAGTGGCCATCACGACAGTTTTGATGCAATCATACGACACTTTACTCTGTCGTATCATCGTGTTATTTTTGTCGTAACATCGAGATGTCGACTTGTCGGCTTAGTCTCTTTCTACAAGTCACAAAAATACAGCTGTACTCATTACATCATACAGTAAGCAGATTAGAAAAATTTAGACTCGTGCAAAAGAGATAATAGGAAAACGTTTTCTCAAAATAATGAAACATTCTGCGTCCAAAAGTGAATTATATTTGGTATTATATATTCAAAAAATCTAGAATTACAATAACAGTACCAAAGTAAGTTAGCTATGTTAATTCCTTGAATAAGAAGTGGTGTCGGGGGTATCGAACAAGTAAGCATACATTGCCTCGTGTACGACACCCACTAGTACTTAGAAGGGATTTCAGAATGTTGACTTATAAAACGTCCCCCCAGCCCACCCCCCAAAAAAAACAGACCTATAAAAATATATTTTCTAAAACTCTTTTTTATTTTAAATTACATAGTTTTAACATGTGCCAGGTGTTTAGCGAAGTCTTGTAGATTGAGACTATAGCGCATGTGCAGTTTTAAACTTCCGAGACGACAAGTCGCGAGTCGATGATACGACAGTTTGGCTTTTTGTCGTGCCGTTGTATCATCGACTTGTCGTGGCGATGATACGACAGCACGACAAAATAAGGTCGATGATACGACAAAATCAGGCGATCTTACGACAGTCATATTGAAACGTGTTTTTTGTTTGTTTTTTTTTAAATCCCTTTTCTTCGATCGACTGCATCCCTTGATTTCAAGTTAAATGATGGTCCATTAGAAGGAACATATTGAGAAAATGTACGTTATCATTGATACGGATTCAAAATGTAATATTTCTCATTCTCTGTTGTTTAATCAATTTTAGACAAATTATTTTTTCAGTCGTATCAAAGATCATTGATACCATTTTATTGATTCTGAAATTATTTGTAAAAGCAAAATAAGAGACGTGAAGGAGGGGGGCGTATGGGACTTTAGAGTGTGTTCATAGCTGAAGGCAATACTGGGCCCATTTTAATCATCTAGGCCCCGATCCCATTAGTGATGCCAAACGGGTGAATATGCGATAAGGTCAATAACAGCTGCGAATCGTTTTCTTCACCTCATAAAAAACCCTCCCCTGCACTTATTGGGGTGGCGTGCTACACCAATGCGGTGATTTTAAAGAATGTGGCCTGATTTGAGGCTTTCTATAATCCTCTTCCCACCCTGTAATAAAATATATTGGAAATCTTCTGAAATCGCTTCTAAACTATCGCTTCAGTAATCTATAAGTATTGCTAGTGTGTCATACACCAGGCTTGTTCGATACCTACCGACACCACTTCTTATTCAAGGAATCAACATAGCTGACTCACTTTTGTCCTGCTATTGTAATTCTAGATTTTGTGAATATAATACCAAATATAATTAAATTTTGGGCGCAAAATGTTTCATTATTTTGAGAAAACTAATAATTAATCAACGTTTTCCTATTATCTCTTTTGTACGAGTCTTATTTATATTTATCTAATCTGCTACTTGTATGATGTAATGAGTAAATCTGTATTTTTGTGACTTGTAGAAAGAGACTTACCCCACAAGTCGACATCTCGACGTTACGATAAAAATAACACGATGATAAGACAGAGTAAAGTGTTGTATGACTGCGTCAATACTGTCGTGTTGTCGCGTTATGAAAAGGGCGAGATTTAAAATGGCCACTATCAGCCACCATATGACGGAACCACTACTGTCATATTGAAGATGGGCTGTATGAGCGAAATTTTACCTGGACAGCGGCACTATGACCTACCCTTATATCGAATTACAACTACCAGGGGGTCTTTTACGTGCCAGACCCTCTGTACAGCACAACTGACAAGAGGGCACCACGCCGGAAATCTGGATGAACTTTCTCGGCCAATGTTTTCTCAAAATAATGAAACATTTTGTGCCCAACATTTTGGTATTATATTTTAAAAAATCTTGAATTACAATAGCAGGACCAAAGTAAGTTAACTATGTTAATTCCTTGAATTCGGGCGGTATCGAACACGTTAGTATACACTGCCTCGTGTACGACACCCACCAATACTTAAAGATGACTAGAGCGATAGTTTAGATTTCAGAAGATTTCACATTTGTTTTATTACAGGGTGGGTAGGGGATTGTAGAAAGCCTCAAACCTGGCCACATTCTTCAAAATCACCGCATTAGTGTAGCACGCCACTCCAATAGTTACAGGAGAAGTTTTTTTATGAGGTACAGAAAACGATTCGCAGCTGTTATTGACCTTATAGCATATTCATCCGATTGACATCACTAATGGGATTGAGGTCTAGATGATTAAAAATAGGCCCAGTATTGCCTTCAGCTATGAACACACTCTAAAAGTCCCATACGCCCCCCCCCCCCCCCTACGTCTCTTATTTTGTTTTACAAATAATTTCAGAATCAATAAAATGGTATTAATGATGTTTGATACGACTGAAAAAATAATTTGTCTAAAATTGATTAAACAACAGAGAATGAGAAATATTACATTCTGAATCCGTATCAATGATAACGTACATTTTCTCAATTATGTTCCTTCCAATGGATCATCATTTAACTTGAAATCAAGGGATGCAGTCGATCGAAGAAAAGGGATTTAAAAAAAAAACAACAAAAACCACGTTTCAATATGACTGTCGTAAGATCGCCTGATTTTGTCGTATCATCGACCTTATTTTGTCGTGCTGTCGTATCATCGCCACGACAAGTCGACGATACAACGGCACGACAAAAAGCCAAACTGTCGTATCATCGACTCGCGACTTGTCGTCTCGGAAGTTTAAAACTGCACATGCGCTATAGTCTCAATCTACAAGACTTCGCTAAACACATGGCACATGTTAAAACTATGTAATTTAAAACAAAAAAGAGTTTTAGAAAATATATTTTTATAGGTCTGTTTTTTTGGGGGGTGGGGGGGACGTTTTATCAGTCAACATTGTACCTACAGGCCGCGAATCTAGATGGACTTTATTCAAATATTAGCACAATCATTACTTTTAAAGGGTGTAAATGCATAATCGAACAACTACTGTCATATAAATCCCTTTTTTTTATAAATCCCTTTTCTTTGATCGACTGCATCCCTTGATTTCAAGTTAAATGATGGTCCATGAGAGAGCCACATTAGTGTGTTTCTTACTACGGATTGGATTTTCTAAAAAATCGTGTTTGTTCCACATCACCGGGTTAGGGCTAGGGATTCTTATATCTAATTGATTTTATTTACTAACGGTTAGGGATAGGATTTGATATATGGTTTGTTTTGGGTCAGGGTGGAGACTGGTCTTATTTAATCTAATTTACTGTGCACTAGGATGTAGTTCACATTTTTATTTTTAGAATATGCAATTATAAGTTTCGGTGTGAATATTTTCGGGTGATTTTCTTGGAGATCAGTATAGTGTTTTCTGATGATTTTGGATGCACTTGCTGCTGTTGCGCTAAATGGAACTACAAAAGGAGCTATTGCGCTAGCCGTATGAATATTCAAACCTAGGGGGGGCTGTTGTTTTCAATTTGTCAATCCATAATTTTTCTCTTGTTAGCCTAAACGTTTTAATTTCTTCTGTAGTTGCAAAGTCGCTCTTGGTCTTTTCTATTGGCGTGACAATTAGATCAGAAATATCATGATTTAGTTGGTTGAAATGAATTGAGACAGGTTTGTCTTTTTTGGTGACTATGTCTGATCG